CAGAGTAATTCGGGCTCTTTTTGATCCATCTTTCTGCTATCTCAAAACAAGATCGGAAACTATTCCGCCCACTCTATCATGAAGTATGGTTCTGGATGCATGTCCGCGCGGAGTAGTTTCATTTCCGCCCATTCCGCCTAATTATTCTGCCTGTCGCCGATTATCTTGCACCACCAAGTACTTTTGTCACGGCGATGTCGATTACACGGCGTAATTTACACATACACACCCGATCTTGCGCCGCATATTTTGCGCATGCACGACATAGTTTACACCACATATCGTCCACCACATAGATTGCACCATTTAGCTTACATTTGTACCACCCAGCTTGCACCACATAGCTCACACTACACAGCCTGCACCACATATCTTGCGCACCAATCGTGCAAGATTCTAGTGCCTGCGGTCCACGCTGGCATTGCTTCGGGGGGGAAATGGAAACAGCAGCCAGCGCGCGAGACGTCCACGAGGCGCCCACGGGCGGGCACTGGGCGAAGCCCAGGCTTGCCCAGCCCGCGCACGGGGCGTTTAAACGGCCCCGCACGTGGCGAACTTTCGGTTCACCCATCCAGGTGGTCAAGAGGCTTGCGCCATTCCGCCAACCCCCACAAAGCACTGAACGTGGCGAGGCTGCCACAGCTCGTGTTGTGAGGCGGCCACTGCTCGTGCTCGTTCCAGGGCGGAGGGCAAGGCATCGCTTTCCAGAGCGGCAATTTCCTGTGAGAGGCTACGGCCTCACCGCGCAGGCCGCTCAGTCGGCCCGGCCCCCCTGGGGACGATTTCGCGCGTCCGTCCGTCCGTCCGTCCCAAAACACTGAATGCATCAAGGGTCGCGCCATACTACTGCCTGGCCTGGGGGTCATGCGCCCTGGGGATGCATGTGCGGGTCCCGTGGGATGCCTTTCAGGGGGCCTCTTGGAGGGGTTTTGAGGGCATTCGGTTGGCTTCTGCGGGCCTCTCGGTGCCTCTCGAGGGCCCCTTGGGTGCCCTTTGGGGCCTCTTGGGCGCGCCTCGGGGGTCATTGGGGGGTTCTTGGGGCCATCACGGCGGAAAAGACTTGTCTTGTCAGCTCCTCGGGGCCCTCCTGGGCCGTCTCATGAGCACCTGGGGCCGTCTCGGAGAACTCTGGAGGCTCTATTGAGCCACCTGGGGGCCCTTTGGGTGGCCTCAGGGGCCGTTTGGGGACGATCTTTGGGGGGCTCCTGGGGCCGCAGCGAACCTTGTCGATATTAAAAGGCACGCAGGTCGAAAATGCACGCTTCCCTACGGAAATGGAGCGATGTTTGCCTCTTGGGCCCCTCTTGGCGGCCCTCTGGGAGCACTCTTGGGCCGTCCTGGGGGCCTCGCAGGCCGTCTGGACGCTCTCTTCCGCTTGGGGTTCTTCGGAGAGAGAGAGAGAGAGAAGAGCTCAGCAAGTATTTTTCCTGGGACTTCCAACTGCGACTGCCCCTGAGCCAATATGATAACAAGCGCACCGATGCAAGAGGGGACGGGGACGGGAAGGAAGAAGACAGACAAGCGACAAAAATGGAAAGAAGAGCAACGGTGGTCACAGTCTTTACTCTCGCCGTATAGAACAAGCACGGAAAAATCGACCCTGAGCACCCTCGAAATCAGCCGGCTCGTCTCCAGCTCAAGCGGGGGAGGCGGAAGAATTGGCGGCTTCACTATCGGGGTACCCGGGACGACTGCCGTGCAGCAAGACATGCGAGAATGAGTGACCTAAGTACGGATGCTCCCGGAGAAACCTGTGCAGAATTCGATTCAGGAAAACATTGGGGTATTGCAGGGCACGGAACTCAGCATACAGTGTGCTAATGTCATGTGCAAGCAAGCTAAAATCAACATACATGTACCTGTCTACACATGCGATGAATTGAGAGCGTACCAGAGCGGCCTTGCGTGCTATAGGTGCATTGGACAGAAAATGCTGGAACCTAGGGCGGACTACATCACCACGCGTGCACAGCTCATGGTCATTTACATTCAACACGTGCGTGCTCAGAAGACGACCTTCCCGAATAACGACACGAAAGCCTGCGAAAGTCGATTCGTCCTCAATCTTCAAACGACCCAGCAGATTGTATGTCGATTCGAACACATGGACATGGCGGTCAGCCACATCAGCTGCCAGGCCCGGGTTCTCTGCCAGCAACCAAACAATAATGCATATGAAAATGTCGTCCACCCACCTGCACACGACGCGGTCCATGTGGATGCCGGGTACACTCGGTGGCACCGAAGAACACAAGTTCTCGAGATAGCAGCACACCAGCGAGCAGACCCCTGGTGACAGTGGCGATCCTTGAGTCATTCCGTTTGCAGGGCGGAAGAGAACGGTCCCAAAATACAAATACCCCCACAACATATCGAAATGAAGAACACCATCCATGTCGTCAACGTGCAAGACAAAGTGATCCTGTGTAGCCACGCGTGCTTGCTGGACACGAGGGATGGACCGGTCACTTTTTGCAGGCATTATATTCTGCGAGAACCCGTGGAACGAACGAGACGACACAGAACGCTGACGCCGAAAATGGAGAGCACGTTCCCTTGGGATACACACCACCTTCCTGCGAGAGCCGAAGCGAGCCACCCACTCGGACAAACACCAACGCCATGCAGCCAGTATGAGGCCACGGTCCACATTGTTGAAGAAAGACTCAATGTCCCGCTTGTACGTGTGCGCGTGACCAACCCATCCCCTCCTAGCCCGGTCGTGCGTGCTCACGTTCATGTTGTGAAACTTATCAACAACGGAGAAGACGTCGTGCACAGCATGATGACCACCCAGTTTACATACCATGTGGTTAAGAACACGACATGCTAATGAGCACAATGGCTTGCACGCATGTGTACAATACGAACCCAACGGTCTCATTTTGGTGTGAATGCCGCTCTCTTTTACCCACCCTTGAAAACCTCCGAAAACATACCGGTCAGGAGGAATGACACGTACTCCGGAATAGGCTGTGTTTGACTGCAGCGCGTCGAGGGCCTTCTCGAATGCACGCACCCCGGGATAGTCGAAGACCGCATTGCCATGAAGTATTGCTAAATTGAAGCAGCGATTCTGCCACCCACGGGGACAACAAAATGATATGATCGATTTGTTTTTGTCCACTGGGCCAATCACTGCAATGTCGCTCAGCATTGATCGCCACCGCATCATGTCCCCTTCCAGGGCCCCCGTGCCTCGGAAGTGCGATTGCGAAGAAAATATACTATTGATGGTCGCCCAGAACGTGTGCATTTCCAAGACGAACGGCCCGCGAATGATGGCGCGTACCCGGTCTGCGAGGTGTTGGAAGGAACTGACGTAAGAAACTCTGCCGGCTCCAGACCAGGCCGCTTTCCACAGAGAATGTGCGAGGAAAGGCTTGTGCGAACGAGCTAGAACTAGACCGAATACAATAGTGTGCCTTCCCAACGTTCCCCTCGTCCTCCCCCAACATACTGCGCAACGACCCACACGTGCATGGAGAATCATACTCTGAAATACGTTTTGCCCACCATTTGACGTTAACCATACAAGACTTAATAGTAGGAGACTTGATAGGCTTAGTAAGCAGAGTAAGACGAGCTTTAGGAGGCAGAGCACACGCAATATCTTCTCGTACGCTATCTACCATCAGACGTTCAACATCCACTCCAGGAAGAAGAGGAAAACGGAGGAGAACAGTGGTGGATGGAGCCGTGGTCTGCGTTAAAACTTCTGAAATGCGTGATTTCGCCACGAAGTTAGGGATGCCGTGCAAGAACGAATCGATGACGTTGTGTAGCCTGTGAATGAGGCCCGGTGAACGGTCGTATAGCTTCTGCACACATTTTGCGACGTTCTTGCCTTTCGCCCGCGTGTCCTCCAATCTGAGAGCAAGAATACCCAGGTGGATCCGGCCGTGCGCGCAATGCTGAGCAAGCTGGCCTGGCTGGCAACCCAAGTCCTCTGCAGTACGTACCACGCTGCCCACAAAATGTGCACGGTGGAGAGAGCGAGGAAGATGACGATAAGGATCGCGAGGACGAGTGTGTACACTGCGAAGTACATGACTATGACAATGTTTGTGCACAGGCGCTTTACATGTATACTTATACACCCATGGCGTGTTGAGCTTGGGGTTCAATGTGCTGCATAATTGTCGTTCAACATATTGAAGTTCTAGATCGTTAGAGCGCTGTAGACATACAACAGGACACACAATAAACGACGACCAACCAAGACGACGCATAACATCATAAGCAGGTAAATCTTTCTTGTGCCCCTTCTGCCCCAGGATCTGCGTATAGTGCTCAACGGTGCGTGCCCCCAAACCCCGCACGGACTTCCCGATGTATGTGTACGTGTGGTGCGCCGAGAACCATATGTAGACAATCTGGCCCTCGGAGTTGTAGCCGCGCCTACTTGCCGACACCATCTCTGTTGACCTCAACAAGAATTGGTGCAATTTCCGGTGCCACGCAAAATCGCTGATCTGCAGGACGCGCAGGCAGATGATGGTGCGGATGTAATTGGTGATGATGAGGAAGTAGGAGCAGGAGCGAGAAGTGAGGTTGCAAGACGGCGATGATGAATTGCAGCAACAATGTAATCTGTCGCACCGGCAGGTTGAACAGGGAGTGCCCACATACCTGCGCACGCCTAAATTCTCTACCAGCACTTTGATATGCTTGTCGATGTTATGTAAAGCCTGGACACTCTGGTACCCCGGCGGCCGGCGAACGGCAGCATGAGAAGCTCTGAGGAAATTGCGCACCAATCGTAATATGGCAGCATGAGTACACGCGTGCGAACAACATGACGTGTCTGCAGAACTCATTGCCCACGAGTTGGACAGACCGACGAAGTCTGAATCGCAGCAACACGAAGAGTTGCCCTGCCAACCACATCCGCGACACAAGTCCAAATGAAGACAGGAAGCCGTCTTTGCAACATCTGGCCGGCTACCGAGATGTACTTGCCAGAAGTTACCGACGGAGCCCATATCGTGATTGCTCCTTCACTTCTTAGTGGGATGGCTATCCACCGTCATTTTCGCAGCAGCTTCCCAAGCAGCCAAATCCGCCGGCGCTGCTGGCGCATCCGGTCTCGCCCGCTTCTTCTCGGGGGATATCTTGGCCGACTCCATGTACGGGAAGAGCTGTTCCTGGGTCAGGAGGGTCTCCGTCCCGTTGTCCCACTTCACCTTATACATGGGGATGGTGCCCTGCAGCTCCATGCTCACAACCTTCCCGCCGACCTCGTTGTCCCCCAACTGGGCCTTGAATTCGAACCCCAGCACAGATGAAGCCGGACGTGGCGATTCCATCTTGGCTGCCTGCGGCTGGCTCGAAGCGCTGCCAGACACGTTAAGCTGGTTCTGCAGCAATCCCAACAACGTGCCCATCGACAAGTCGGAGCCGGACGCAGCACCCTGTAGGAGCGACTTCAGATCCGGGGTGGATGGGCGCAAATGTGGCGCGACGAAGTCTTTCTCTGGGACCCTGAGGGTGGAGTTGACGAGCTTAACTCCGGTGACTCATTGCTGCCATTGCTGCCATTGCTCATCCGACAAATGTGACGGCACAAGGCTGCGCAACTCGCGCGCCCTTTCTCGGGCCACCTTGAAGTCGTCACTGGCCTTGAGAAATGTAACCATGATCTTCTCCTTCTGCAGCGCATCCGTGGCGCCGATGTCATTGGTAGCAATCGTCGTAATCTCCACGTTCGGATCATCGGCGAAGCGGAGACGGCTGCCGTCGGAGTTCTCGGTGACACCTCGGAGGTCGACGACATCACGAGGAATTACGCGCATGGCTGCCTCCCATGACGGAGAAGACCAACTAGCACCTTTTCCTCCTCCGATGAAGACCGGCGCAGGCTGCTGTTGCATATACCCTTTGCCCTTCCCAGAGGATTGGTCGGCCCACTGCTGCGCCTGCACGAAGGGATTGCGAGCCGCCATCTGCTCTGTGATGCCGGACTGCAGTAAGAACCAGCAAGAATAAATCGAAACAATATTGAACAGGATGGAGATACAAACGAACTGCAAGTATGAACTGGAAGTATGAAAGTAAGAATGTGCGATATACGGATCTGCACGGGAGCGGAGAGGTCCGATCGCCGTGCTGGGCTGAGAGAAGAGCTCAGCAAGTATTTTTCCTGGGACTTCCAACTGCGACTGCCCCTGAGCCAATATGATTACAAGCGCACCGATGCAAGAGGGGACGGGGACGGGAAGGAAGAAGACAGACAAGCGACAAAAATGGATAGAAGAGCAACGGTGGTCACAGTCTTTACTCTCGCCGTATAGAACAAGCACGGAACAATCGACCCTGAGCACCCTCGAAATCAGCCGGCTCGTCTCCAGCTCAAGCGGGGGAGGCGGAAGAATTGGCGGCTTCACTATCGGGGTACCCGGGACGACTGCCGTGCAGCAAGACATGCGAGAATGAGTGACCTAAGTACGGATGCTCCCGGAGAAACCTGTGCAGAATTCGATTCAGGAAAACATTGGGGCGCTGGCAAGTTCGCAGCCCCCCCCCCGGCCAACCCCCTGGGTCCCTCTCCCCCGGAGCCGCCGGCCCCCTCTGTACGCAACTGCTGCGACGTTCGGGCCCCAAGGGGAGGGGGAAAGAGGAGGGGCACAGCCAATCACCTCACACGCCTTCTTGCCGCCGGTAAGCGGGGGTCGGCGGACTCAGGAGCCACAGTGAGAGCCACTGAGTGTAAGCACTGTTGAGGACAAATTCCACTGACTTTAGTCATCTTCCTCCTGCTCCTTGTCTTTCTTCTCTGGTGAAACATGATTGGGCACCAGAGGGGGCCCAACGACGCACCGAGGAAGACCGAGTGGGAGGAGGGGGAGCGGGAAGTGGAGGAAAGGAGGTGAGTTGGGGAGATGGGAGCAGATGGTGGACGAGAAGCACCAGGGGGCATGGGAAGAAGCGAAAGCTGGTCGCGCACGTGTTTCGAGGCATCAATTTGGGGGCTCACCGTCCACGTGATGTCGGCTTGCACATTGCATTGGTAGTGAACGCCTTTGAACGCCTTCGCTTTGGCTGCGCGTGTTTGCACGCATGAGTGGGCGAGGCGAGGTCGCAATATATGTATATGTAATGTTTGGAATGCTTGAGGGGAGGAGGAGGAGGAGGAGGCGGAGGAGGAGGATGAGGAGGCGGGGGAGGAGATGGAGGAGGAGGAGGAGGAGGAGGGGGAGAGTGAAGGCGGATACTTTTCAGTGCGGTCTGTGCACTTTGAGTATCGTCAGCTCTTGCTACTGCCTTACCTGTCTTCTCTGTTGCAGGCCACTTTGCGAGCGAAGACGAGTCCGTCTCGCAAGAGGAGATGGCCGCTTGCCTGGATAA